CCCCGTCTGGGTGAGCTTCTTCCCTGGGGCTTGGCTTTGCCCCAGCGTTGCCCTGCTCTCTCGCCGCGGGCCCTGGGCCAGGCCCATCTCTCTACGGGCACATGTCCCCGCAGCCAGACTCTGGCTCTCTCCTCCACTGTCAGGAAGCCCAGCCCGCCTCCCCCGTGTGTCGAGCTCTCACTCGGGACGCGAGCGCTCTTTGGGAACTCACCTCTCGCCATCGTGGACCCCCAGCCACTGACATAGCAGGTCGTCAGCTCGGACACATTCAGCGAGGCATCAGGCACGCAGGCGAGCTGGATGGAGTCGCTGCACCGCACAGGCTCGTCCAACTGCAGCAGAGCAATGTCGTTGCTCTGCGAGATCTTGTTATACTCTTCGTGAACCAGCAACTGCTTAACAGAGCGCACCTGGGACTCCGGGCCGGGCTGAGGCAAACTGGTGGCCCCCACCACCACGCGCCACCTGGTGATGTGCCTGGAAGGCAGATGGGGAGAGGGCTCAGAGGGAGCGGCGCCACGTGCTGCAGCAGCCCAGCAGTTCCCTTTCCCTGCCCTCTGCTTCCCGTGGGGGAGAGGAAAGCAGCGCTATGGAGGCTCAGACTGCCCCTGCATGTCTTGGGCTCCAGGCATGTGGAGGCTGTTGGAGGCTGTGGCAGGAGCCCAGCGCTCTCCTGAGCCGCCTCTCAGCCGGGCTCTGCAGTGCCCAGGCACTGGGCGTACCACAAGGAAAGGGGACGGGAGTAGCACGTGGTGCTGCGGACGAGGCACCCGCGAGTGTCGGGGGATATCCCCGTTCCTGGCCCTCCTTACCTGGCCTCAGTGAAGCAGTGGGCTGCTGTCAGGACCCACTGTGGGCTGATGAGGGACCCTTCACACACATGGCCCGTGCCTCTTCTCCGGGTATCCTGGATGCTCACGATCCAGGGCCAGCCCCCTGCCTGGGCGTCTCTGCCCCCCACCACGTGCGAGGTGTCATCAGCAGCAGCCGTGGGCCGGAGTCCGCAGGTCCCTCTGCAACCAGAAACTCGTCACCTTCCTGCTCGACGGCTCACGGCTCTCCCGGCTGAAGGTCAGCCCTCTGCCCTCCCCACGGGGCGCTGCATGGACAGCAAGGCCAGGGAGCCCCATGGGGAGGGCGGGCAGCCACCCCCTTTTCTGCTGGAGTCCCGCAGGCGAGTTGTGCCAGCAGCCCGGGTGTTGCAAGGAGCCAAGGCTCCTGCGTGGGGCTGGGGAAGCCGTGGTGTGACCACAGGGGACCGGTGGACACCCCCCAGGGAAACCCATCAGGGTGCCCAAGCTCCCTCCCAGAGCCTCGGCCACTTACCCACAGCTGTCCCAGGCGCTGGTCGCAGGCCAGCACAGGGCCAGCACGATGAGGAGACGGAGGAGAATCATCGCTGCCAGTGGCATGTGCCAGCTGCCAGAACTGAGGGCTTGTCACCACCAGCGCAGCAGCTGACAGAGTGCCTGCAGGGCTCACGGTGCCCGTGGTGCCCGCGGTGCCCTTGGCAACGAGGCTGACATCACAGTGTCACTGGTTCCAGGGGCTGGGTGCGGTGGTCTCTAGGGGCGGGGCGGACAACATGGGCGTTTCCAAGCAGGAGGGGAGGCAGAATCTGGGATCGGACACCCCCGACAGACCCCACTGAATGCCCCGCTTGCAGGACGGGGGAGTGCAGGCCCCGTGGCAGGCAGCAGCGCCCGGCCCCCAGCACTGCCTGCCAGCGGCCAGCAGGAAAAACCCAGCGTGGCACCACAGCCTCTGGGGGGAGTTCACCGCCCCCCTGCTCTCCGCAGCCCTCTGCCACCAGGTCCTTCCCAAAACTCGTACACCGCAGAACAGAACGGCTACAGGCAGCAGCACACGTCTGGCCGTGGCAGAGCCCACCTGGTCCCAGCCGCGCAGGCACGCAGGGATGTGCAGCCACCTCAGCCCAGCAGAGCCCAGCAGCGTCGCCCTTCCCGCACACCAGCTCGTAAAGCCCAAGCGCGTTGCACAGGCATTTTGGGGGAGGTGGACTGAAACAGTCAGTATCAAGTGTCAGGGTGGAATCCCCAGCCTCACCAGGTCTGGCACCTTCTAGGAATTGCCCTGCGGCTTTGGGTGAGGATCTCTGGTTTCCAGGCAAAATGCCGTGCTGTGCAGGAGGACTCCCGACTCAGCAGGGCTGGAGGGGACAGTGCTCACATGCTTGGGTTTCTGTTTTTTTGAGTGGTTTAAGTTGGAGGTGGTGTTTGAATATAATACAAGACAAGTTTGGAGCCTTTTCATTTTGCTGAGCAGTGCACATGTCTCGTGAAATATTTTAACGGTGACTCTTTAGTGTAGTGGCTGGGCTTTCTGTTCCGTTGTTGGAAATATCAGAAATAAACATTAAACAGCACAAAATGCAGGAAATTACACTTGGCGTTTCATAATTGGCTCAGGAACTCTCTTGTTAATGTTCATTCTTCATTTTGGTTGGGATGGACCAGCCTGATGAAACCACAACAAAACAAAACAAACCACACCAGCCGCCCAAGCGTCTGCTGGGCCGAGATCTGAGGTGCCTCGACGCAGTGACCGAATAAAACCCTGGAATTCCCAGCTCTGCCCAGCATTCTGTAGCCAACACGTCACACGCACACATTTTGCTCTTGCTTCTCCGGTTTGTAATTTGGTTGCTGTGATCCCATCTCGGGGCTGTTCTCAGCAGAGGGCAGCCTTGTCAAACCCACACGCAGAGCAGCAGGCACAGTGTATTTTGTGTTTTCCCGGCTGCTGGCCCGTGACCCGTCTGGGTGATGTCCCACAGAAAGGCAGCAATTACCTGTGGGGCCGCTGCTGATGGTGATACGGCCGGTCCCTGGGCAGATCCAGGTTTGTGAGGGGAATTATTACCGTAGGAAAATAAAGCAGTCGTTCTGGGAAGGAAAAAAAAAAAGAAAAGAAAAAAAAAAAAAAAGGGTTTGAGTTTTAGATGGGGCTTTTCGGGAAATGGAAAAAAAAAATAATTTCAAAGATGTTCTAGTCCTTCGTGTTGGTGATCTCCACTTTTTGTGCAAATGGAGAGGGTTCATAGTCACAGAGAAGAGTTTGGTGCTGTGCTTGCACCAGCAGTCACACATCCACGAGACATGCTTTTCCCTCCCGAACACACTCTTAAAGCTCGCAGGCAGACCTCCCCATGCTTCTGTGCCGGATCACATGTCTGAGGATAGTTATTTTATGGTATAATAACATTTCTCATTTGCATTTTCACATTAAATCCCCATTTAGCATCATCTTTCAGACATCGGGACAAGCTTTTCTCCATCTTTCAGTCTTAGCTGTAATTGTTGAACTGTTCTGCCTATTTGTTTTGAATGAAGAGTAAAAATACAGGGCAGATGCTTAATAGGACTAAATTGTCCTTTGAAATCAGTGGATTTACAGCAAATTACACCAGGCTCGGATCACAATATTTAACTGAATTAAACCAACATGTCTGTGAAACTAAGCCAAGTGAAGGGACTCTCTGTCAGGAAATACTCAGCAGCAATTCTCATAGTCAAATCACACACTGCTTATCTTGGCAAAACCACCTCTGAGATTCACCGTAAAAGCGGTTTTCTTTCCTCTTTATCAAGATCTGTTTGCCTTTCACCTTACTCACAGCAATCATTTTGAAATCTGTCTTGAAAACAGACTGTCCTGCCACGACAAAGCCAGCAAACAGGACCAGACTGAAGGGTGAACCATGTCACCGTTTTGCAGCGCAGGGGCTCGGCACCAGCTTTTCCTGACACAGAAGTTCCTCATGATGCTCGTGTTGACAAATGGTCACGTACAGAGAACTTCTGGAAAAGCATAAAGGAAGAGATGGGAGGAGACGCACACAAAGCTATGATTTTCATTAATGCCTGTAAATCTGAGGGGTGTTACTGTCACCAAAAGCGATGACGAACCTCTTAACCCCAACGTAGCAGTAAGAGTGGGCATTTCTTTATTTGGCTCTGGGTGCACGAGGGATCATTCCTCCTAACGTGCACACACCAAGACAAAAGTTCACCCTTTATATCCCTTAAAGACAGGAATATTCATACTTTTGCTCAGAAGTCTCCACCTTTCCGCCTATCTACTACATTTACAGGTGGAATCCAGGTGTGGTGGCTGCTGGAATGAAGAGATGCCCAGTCACTGAGGGATGGGACTGGGAAAGCCAGGGCTGTCTGGAGGTGAATCTAGCAAGGGATGGGAGGGGAAGCAAGGGGGATTTCTACAAGTACGTGAACAGAAGGAACACCGGGGATAGTGTGGGTCTGCTGCTGAACACCCCTTTGGGGCCCTGGTGACACAGGACACGGAAAAGGTCACAGTGCTCAGCAAGCTCTTCACATCTGTCTTCACTGGGAAGACCAGCCTTCAGGAACCCCCAGCCCAAGAGATCAGGGGGGAAGTCTGAAGCAAGACAGAGGAAATCCTGATGGGAGAGGGTCAGGTCAGGGGGTACTGAAGCAAACTGGACATGCAGAGGTTCATGGGCCCCGACAGAACAAATGTGCAGGTGCTGGGGGACCTGGCCAGTGTCATTGCAAGGCCACTCAAGAATCCCTGGTGGATCCTGGCAACCTCAAGGCTGGAGGGAAGTGACTGTCACTCCTGTCTTCAAGAGCCAGAAGGAGGACCCAGGGAACCACAGACTGGCCAGCCTCACCTCGATCCCGGGGACGGTGATGGAGCAGCCGGTCCTTGAAACCATTTCCAGCCACGTGAACAACAGGCGGGAGATCTGGAGTAGCTAGCACGCGTTTACAAAGAGGAAATAGTGTCTAAGTAACCTGCTAACCTTCTCCAATGGGGGACAGGGGGAGAGCCATGGATATTGTCCACTGCTCTTTTGTTAAGTTTTTGACACTCTTCCAAAGCATCCTCACAGACAAAATGGCAAAAGAGAGGTTCTATAAGTGAACGAGGAGGTGGACTGAAACGAGCTGAACGGACGGGCCCGGAGCGCGCTGACCAGTGACACAAAGTCCAGCTGGACACCAGTGACCAGTGGTGCACTCCGGGAGTCGATCCTGCGGCCACCCAGCTGCAAGGTGGGCCTGTGAAAGTGCCCAAGGACAGCCCAAGGTGGGCAACACGCTGGCCATCAGCCAGCGGTGCCTGGTCATGGCGGGGAATGGCAACAGCATCCCGGGCTGTGCTCGAAGGGGGGTTGTCAGCAGGTCGAGCAGGTGAACCTCTCCCTTTATTCAGCACCGGTGAGGCCACTTCTGGAGTCCAGTTCTGGGTTCTCCAGGGTGAGAGAGATATGGCTGTGCTCAACAGTGTCCATCAAAGGGCCACAAAGGTGATGGAGGGACCAGAGCAACTCTGCTGCAAGGAGAGGCCGGGAGAGATGGGACTGCTCAGCCTGGAGAAGGGAAGGCTCAGGGGGATCCCATCGATGTGTGTCAATACCTGAAGGGGCACAACGAAGAAGTGGAAGCCAGGCTCTTCCCAGTGGTGCCCCATGCCTGGACAAGAGGCAACGGGCACAAACTGACACACAAGGAAACACTTTTTCACCGTGAGGGTGACCAAACACTGGCACAGGCTCCCCAGAGAGGGAGTCTCCATCCTTGGGGATATTCCAAACCCAACGGGACACGTTCCTGAGGAGGGAATTGGGCCAGGTGATCTTGAGAGGTCCTTTCACATCTTGCCACCGCATCCCAGTAGGGTGGCGAGAGAGGCTGTCACATTGTCACCTGCCTCTGCAAATCCATTTCCCCAGAGCCAGAAAACCTCTTCCCTCAGTGGCAGCAAAGGGCCCAGCCAGACCACACTTATCAAGGCGCCACATCATACCCCCTCATCCTCACCCTCCTGGGCGGGTGCACCCTCCAAAACAATCGTCTCCCTCAATCAAGGGCCTCCCGTGTGTTTGTGCCCTCTGACATTGCCCAGAGCACCCAGACCCTTCCCCAGCCCTCCCCAAACGTCATCACTGACACAGATGGGAGAGGAACACATGGTGGGGCTGTAGCCCGAGAGACCTCAGCAGATGTAGGACACGGGAATGCGCTGCAGTGAAAATGGAGGGCTCTGGGTGGCACCAGAAGGCAAAAGGAGGAGCTGAGGTGTACGGCAGGGAAACCAGAGGCATCCAAACGCGCACTTCTGGGTGCACCACGAGGTAAATGCGTGACTCTAGAGGCTGGGATGGCCCAATAGAAACTTCTGCATTGCACCCGAGGGCAAATGAAGGTCCCTGGGGAGCATCGGGGGGCCCATCAGAGCCATCCATGCATTTCTGGGTGCGTTCAGATCCCCTCCACGACCTTCCACGACCCTCCACGTGCTCTCTGTTGCCCCTGATGCCACTGTGGTCCCTTCCATTCCTCTCTGTGTGTGTTCAGGCTCCCCTCATTCCCCTCTGTGGAGCCTCAGTCACCCCCTGTTCCCTTCTGGGTTCTTGTAGCTCCTCTCTGCTCCCCTGACTGTGCCCTAGACCCCTGCATTCCCACCCAAGCATGCTCAGATCTCCTCCACTCCCCTCTGTGCAGCCCTCAGTCCCCACCAGCCTTTCTGGCTACCTTACATCCAAGCCGTGCCGCCTCCGCATGCTTTCAAACTCCTCCTGTTCCCTTCCCTTCGGGGTGCCTCTAGATCCCCCTGGACTCATTCTGTTCACTCCCAAGTGCTCTCAGATGTTCTCCGTTCCCATCCAGATGCTTCTCTGTCCTCTCTGTTCCTCTCACTGTGCTCTCTTGGGGCCCCTCTGCTGTCCTTGCACAAACAGATCCCTGCCTTCCCCTCCTGATACGCTCTGCATGCACACACGTCTCCTCTGCCCTCCCTCCCTCCTCCATTACTCAGATCTCCTCTGTTCCTCTCAGTGTCTGCTTAGTGCCAGCTCCTCCCCTCTGTGCATGCTCACATCCCTCTTTTCCACAAGTGCCTGTGGATTCTCACTGTCACCCTTCATCAACTCTCAGACTGCACCCGTCCCGTCTGGTGCCGCTCTGTTCCTGTGAGCTCCCCTGTCAGATCGCCTCCAGTCCCTCTCTGCATCCTCCATTCCCCTCCATTCCCCCCAACACATGACCAGATCCCTCCGTTCCCTTTCTGTGCACAGGACCAGGCCCTCTGCTCTCCCCTTGGCGCATGCTCAGACCCCTCTGTTCCGCTCTCTGCCTGCTCAGATCCCTGTTGCTGCCCGATTCCGCTCCATTCCTGGGCAGACTCTCTCTTTTCCCTGTGACATGTACCCTGTATGGCCAGTCTCTCAAAGGGCATGCCTCAGAGCCCACAACAGCCTGTTCAGCTGCGTCCTTGCAGTCTGGAATGTATAGCCTCAAAAGACATATCAGGTATATTCAGTGTCTGCTTGCCTGTTATTTAATAACCATCTCTGTCTCCTGCCCCAGACTGGCCCAAGGACTTAAGCGAGATTCCTGCCATTAGCCGCAGTGGCATCTATGACATCCAGCCCACAGGACTGCACCCCATCATGGTGTCCTGCGAAATGAACGTGACGGATGGGGACTGGACTATCATCCAGAATAACCGGCAGAGCACAGAGATCACCTGGGCTGAGTCCTGGAGCACCTACAAGTATGGCTTTGGGAACTTACACACCGACTACTGGCTGGGCACCGAGTATATCCACTGGATCTCCTAGCAGAAAGTATCAAGTCAGGTTTGTCATCTGGGATGCCTCAAATAACACCAAGTTTGCAGCCTACAGCCTCTTCAATATGGAAGATGAGTCCCAGGGCTACCGGCTGAGGCTGGAACATACTCAGGGACAGCAGTGGATGCCATGACCTCAGACAATCCCAGGAATGTGTACAACCACATGAAGTTCTCTATAAAGGATCTGAATCAGGACACTTGCAGCGGGAACTGTGCCTACAGCTACGAGGGTGTGCGGTGGTACTCGGCATGTTACTCTGTACGGCTGAATGTCAAGGGGGCCATAGCATGGGGCAGCCTCTGCAATGGGAACTGCAAAGCTTCTGCCATCCTCATCAAACCAGCTCCGTACCATTAGGGCCCTTTCCCCCTCCTGCCCATGCTGGCCACCTGCTCAGACCAGTGCCCTGCTGGGATGTTTTGCTGGGAGGAAGCTGGGGGTCAATTGCATTGGTCCTGCATATCAAGAGCCCTTTTCTCTTCCTATTCTCTTCAAAAGTAGCAAATCTCCCTACTTTGCCTCAGGCCTTTCACTTCTGGTGGGTTTTTAGGGACCATTCTTAGAGCAAGTCTCCATAAACACTTAAGTTTCCCAGCTTGTTTCTTCTGGGGAGAAAACTGTGATCAAAAACTCAAAATCCTCCTGATCTAGCAAGGCCTTGTTCTCTCCTTATTTTGCAGGTATAGATGATTTCAGCAGAAAAATATCTGTCATCACTAGTGAAGCTTATCCAAGCTGCTCTGGGCCCAGGCAGGCCACGTGTGCACCATATACCTGCTGGAGTCCGTGTTTGTCGTGCAGAATAAAACTGCTTTCAGAACCTGCACAAACATGCACAGATGTTCTTCATTTGTTTAGGAACTTCTCTCAACTGCTGCCAGTTTTTAGCCAGGAGCAGACCTGAGGCTCCTGGTGCAGTAAGAAAAGACTTTCAAAGGGAAAATTTTTCATAAGGCTCAAACAAGGAATTAAAGACAAAGCTTTCACTTTGAGAAGAGAGTTCAGTTTCAAGGTGGGGACCTTGCAAAAAAGGGAATGGTGTACCTCATCGCCAAGAGTGAGCACTACAGGTCAGACAGAAGTTTCAGCTCAGTTCAGCCCAACCAGCCATGACCCGAGCTGACCCAGGGCGGCAGCCCAGGCCAGCGTCATCCTGCCTTGTTAAACTGCGAATGCAGGCCCAGGCCTTGGGATCGCGGACAGGGGAGAAGGGGACAGCAGCACAGCTGGGCCACTCAGCACCAGCTGATCAGGGTGTCTAGGTCAGGCCCAGGAGCTGAGCCAGCCTGACACGGCTGGATCCCAGAATTTCAGAGGCCTGGGTTGGCCTGGGGCCACATGGGCTTGCTCCAGCGTGACGACATCTCTCTGTGCTGGACACAGCACCGGTGATGCGCTCCCCAGCGCTGGGCAGGGATGTCTGGCCAGTGCAGCCCAGGGCACAGCTCTCCCCCCATGCCACTGGGTCTGTTCCCAGCTCCTGGGTGAGTTGTGGTCTGCTGGGAGCCCCAAGCCCTTTCCTGCCTTGCCACTCCCCTCGCTTAGGTTGCACACCCAGACTGGGCTGCAAGGGAGTTTTTAAGACAGCAGACAAACCTCAGTCCAGAGATGCTGCTCTCAGGCCAGCTCAGACTGGGAAGCAATTCTCAAGCAGCAGCACTCTGGGCTGGTCAGGGCTGCTGGTCTGCAGGTGCCTGGGCACCGAGGCTGCCAATGTGGCCTCCTGGGGAGCAGGGCACTGCAAGGGCTCTGCAGGGCACCTGGGGCCTCAGCCATGGCCCTTGGCCCACCAGCCCCAGGCTGTTTTGGACCAACAGCCACAAGCCTTCCCTGAGCTCAGCGTTTCTGTCAAAGACAGAATAGAGGAGCAGTAGCTTCTTTCAAGCCCTCAGTTCCGCCTTCCTCCCCCATTGCAAGGCAGATCCCAGGCCACACGCCCACTCCACGGCAGAGTGCTGTAGGTGAGAGGTGCCCACGCCTCGCGTGCCCTTGGGGACCCCCTGCTCCCCCCATGCTCCAGGCCGTGGTGGCTTTGTCCTTCTCCCAGCACAGAGCAATCACGCAGAGCTGGGCAGGGGCAAACTAGGAGAAAGGGCTGTGCAAGATACTGGCCCTGTTGGCTCATCACAGCCTTGCAGCCAACTTCTAGTGCTCAGCGGCTGGAACAAGCCACTGGAAGCCATGCTGCATCCAGAGACCTGAGAACCAGCCACAGACAGTTAGGAGTGACCACTGTACTCAGTTGTGCACAGCAACTGGGAGAAGAGCTCATGTTACCAGCTGATGCTGGGAACAGGCAGCAACAGGGACAGTCAATGTCAGGCCTGTCACTATGGAACACTGAAATATTGCAAACAAAAAAATCAGTGTGAACCCCCTGCAGGCCACACCAGTTCTGCACCAGATCAGCCTAGGAGTAGAATCAGCTCCACAGCCAACCTGGCCCAGCACTGCCTGAGCAAATCATCCCAAAATCAGCAGCATCTGGGGCAGTGAGCTCTGCATGTCCCAGGAGATCCTGTGTTCTTTGGGCAGGGGCATCTCCCCACCTGGAAGAGGACCTGCCTCTACACTGACTTGGCCCAGCATCCTCCAAGGCCTCAGGACCTCGACTGCTCCCACGTGTGTGTGCAGTGTTGTGGCGGAAGGTAGACACAAGGCAGCAAAGTCTGGCTCCGGGGTTTATTGAGGCTGATTTCTCCCACCATGGGTAGCAGAGCTGTGGGGTGTTTGGGGCCCAGGGAGGGAGCAGGGCCTGAACAAAGCAGGGATACACCGATTGCACAGGGAAGGGAACTTGCACTGCCTCCCCCTCCCCAGGGCAGGACTGGGTCCACCCACCCCAAACTAGTGCCCATGTCCCAGTGCTGGCCAGTACCGTGGCACTGGGTGAAGCTGCCCGCGTGCCCGGGGCTCCGGGCAATTTCTCCTGCGCCCCAGAGCTGCTGTGTTTCTGCTGGTGATGGTGCGGGACCTGCAGGAAACGCAGGATGTGTCCCAGGGTTGGCACGGGGCTGTTGGCAGGCACGGGAACGGGGCACTGAGCTGGGGAGGGTGGCACTTCCCCAAACCCCCAGGAGGCTGGGCGCTGTGGCACGGTCAGCACACGTCTGTGGGTTTGACCAGGATGAGGGAGGATGCGCAGTCGCCATTATCACAGAATCCTGGCCAGAGGATGTGGTTTTTGGCATTGAGCAGGACATTCTGACACCTGTCGTACCACCAGCCACCGTAGCTGTTGGCACAGTTCCCACTGTACTGGTCCTGGTCCCTGTCAGTTGTGCTGAACTTCATGTTGTCATGAATGCCCCCCTTCTTGGGGTGATAGCTGGTCAGATAGTCATCCCCATCACCAGAAAACCGGCCTAGCCTCAGTGGGTACCCGCTGGCCTCGTTCTCCACTCTGAAGATGTCATACTCGGCGTAATGGGTGACGTTGGCTTTATTCCGCACAATGAAGCGGACCTTGTAGGTGCCCTGCTGTGTCAGCAGGTGCAGGTACTCGGTGCCCAGCCAGTGATCACCCTGCACGTTCCCGAAGCCGTACTTGTAGGTGGTCCAGGACTGCTTCCACATGAGCTCAGTGTCGTGAGAGTTTCTCTGGACAACCGTCCAGCCCTTGCCTTCGGTGTCCATGTCGCACCACACCACACGTGGGGGTGACGCTGCTGGCTGGATGACGTACACCCCACTGGGGCTGTTCTTGTGGAGGTGGCTGCAGTCTGCAGGGAACCCTGTGACAAAAAGGGCTGGTTTTATCTGTGGTTGGCTCCACAGTGCAGAGTGGCTTTTCCAGTGGCTCATCCACAGGGCAGCCAAAGGTCTCTAAGACAGTGGCCCTGGACAGGGCCCGAGAATCTATTTCTCATGACTTGCATTTTTCTTCAGAGCTTTCTAATGCATCCAGCCAAGAAAAGGAGAAAAAAGTCTCCCAGGTGCCAGTGATGCCCTCCAAGTATGTCTGGTCCTCACACAAGGCCCTTGATATATTGAGCTGCAGCTCTTGCAAGGATCATAAGTGTCCAGAATGCTCCCCTGGATAAGGATGTGTAATGAAAATGCAGGCTTTCCCTGGGGATCATGGCATTGCAAGAGAAGGCTCAGTTCTACCTCAGTCTCATAAGAGTCTCTCCCCACAGTTTGTCACAGTTTATCTGTTAGCAGGACTGACCTGTCATGACTTACTTGCCAAACTAATTTGCTGTCTAAATTGTTTTTCTTGGTTTGTGCCTGATAAGGAACAATTTCCTGTAGGTAATTCCAATTCAGCCCATGAAATTCTGCTTTTATCAGGCATACAGGTCTTTCAGGGAGTGTAATCTCCCTTGCAGGTAGGAAGAGAATACTTCTAATCCAACAAGAGCTAAAAAAAAAATAATATTGCTGGGAGGACCTTTCCTAGAACTGAGGTATAAAAAGACATAAGTACTGCAGGGCAATCCTGCTAAATGACAGTGTTTGGGCAGAAACCCCTCGGTTTCAGCATGGAGCCTCCAAGGGGATGAGGGTAGCTTGACTGGTGTCAGGCTGCTTATTGTACAGGTGACGGCCCAGGGGTTAGGGGGGGGTTCCTGTGCCATGCACCAGCCAGGTGCACACCTGGAATCTGGTGCTGAGTGGGGGAGATGTATTCCTGCTCCCACACCCAGTGCCCACGTACTCCACACTCACCACTCCGGGACCCAGGGGTGGGTGCTGCTGGGCCAGCGCTCACACAGAGGAGAAGCATCGCCACCATGGCGGGCAGGAGGACAAGGTGTGTCCCAGCCTGGAGCCCTGGGGAGAAAAGCGCCCACTGCCATCAGGATCCAGGGGCAGCCCCCTGGCCCCCAGTGAGCTCGGACCAGGGAAGGCAGAGCCGCAGGGTGCAGGCAGGAGCAGGGGGCTGCCGGGGCGGTGGGAGCTGCAGCTTCACTGCAGGCTCTGCCCCTGCAGGGCTGAAGCAGGGTGAGAAATGGTTTTTGTCACCCTCCTGATCAGCCCCTTCCCTGCACCAGGCAGCAATCTGCCTGAAGATCTGCCTTTGGAACCTACAGTCCAAGAGTAGCGATGAAAGATAGTTGAGTAGTAGTAAGTAATCTACCCAAGAGTAGCTAAGAGTAGACGCGGTGACATCTGGGGAGAGCAGTTTGCCAGGAGGAGGGATCACAAGAAACATTTCTTTTTGAAGTGATCGTGCCTATGCCTTTTAAATGAGCCAACCCAATAAGAGCAGGTGGGACACCAGACCCAAAGGGTGGGCCCTACCCCTACGGGTGCAGGCTCCCAAGTAGGCAGGAGGAATCCTCCCACAGCTGCACCATGACACCAGCCTGAGCCCTCTGTGCTGCCCACCAGCACGGCCCCCACCCTGCACTGCCTCTGTTGTGGGGGAGATGCCATCACCCCTGGACAAGGATGGACCCCTGTGCCACATGCACAGGTTGGAAAGGGAAAGGACCAAGCTGAAATCCAGTTCTCCACATTAACATCCCTTTGGGATATGGGAACACAGACACGGGCAGCCCAGGAAAGCCTGGGCTGGCACCCAGTGTGTGCGTCACTGGATGCCTGGGTCTTGCACCCCTCTGCTGCCAGAGGGCCTGGCAGCATCCATCACACAGGCAGGGTCACAGCCACTGTCCTGTTACTCACCCCGTGCCTCTGATACACCCCCCGGTCAGGCCTTGTTTTTGCTCAGCACCACCCATGGGACAGTAACTCACCCATCACAACAGCACAGCTGCGCAGGGAGCAGGAACCCACTGGTGCACCCTCCCACACTGAGCTTTCCACAGTGGCTTTATAGGCACTGCACACACCCACTTGTGCTCACGCTCACTCTTTCGAGAGGCACAAGGAGGCACTTGCAGTTTGTGACTGGGGCAGTTTTCAGATCCCATGAGAGCACGACTAAACCCCCTGAGGGGAGAGGGGTGTGCCCTTCCAGCCAGGGAAGTACCAAATAATCCCCTCCACATCGAGGGATTTCAATTATTGACTCTCCCAACCACACAAACACTACATGTGGATTGCCCACTTGTGGCAAATCTGGAAAGCCGTGATCGGACTGAAGTGGAGACACTCAGCTCCTTAAGGACATGCACACAGAAACTAGCAGAGGAGGGGAGATTAGGTCTCCTTTGTGTCCAGTCCCAAAGGTGACCTGGGAAATATGAGGACAGGTCCTCAAGAGCCAGGCCTGCTCCCTAGCTCTCCACCGGCAGGTTTCAGGGTCAGCGACTTCTGTCACTGGCTTGGAACCAGTGTCCAGCACCAGAAGTGACTGTATGCACCATGTCCCCTGCACCCCACACCCCAGCCCTGCACAGAGGGCTGCGGGGAGCATGGAGGTGCCTGTGGGTTGGCCTCTTTGCCACTCTCCTCCCCAGTCCCTGTCTCTGACCTGTCAAGAACCCTGCACATGCCCCCAACCCCAGAAACAGCAACCAGGGGTTGCTCCCTCTCACAGGAGCAGAATGGTCTCAGAAATGTTTGTGAGGACTTTGCTTCATGCCAGATGGCTCCACTACTTTCTCAAGCCAATTTAAGAGGAGAAAGATGTGGCACTTCTACTTTCTTGTTCTGTTTTTGTTTCAGTAGCCTGCTGACCAGATGTCTCCTTCATGGCACAGCTTCAAACCTGGGCTCTCGGCAAGCCAGCATCCAGCTGAGGCTCCCACCAAAAATTCCACGTCACAGGAGCCCACATCAAGCAGTGCGGCATGCAGGTCTGGGTGGACAGTGGCATCCAGACCCCTCCAAGGTCAGGGATCACTGGATCGACTTCTGTCTGAAGCCTTCAATCTCAGCCCTGTCTCCTGGGTGAGAGGTTGGGAGCTTGGTCTGCAGCCTCATTTAGTGTGGAAGAGTCACAGAAGCAGCACTGCCACGTCTGCAGAAGGAGAAGGGCCTGAGCCGCCTGGGAAGAATGACCCTCGGCACAGAGGCCATGTGGCCCCTTCCTGCAGGGGCAGAGGGGTGGGTGACTTAGGGGCCGAAGCACCTGTGGTGTGTGGGGCCACCTGGGGAAGGCCCAGCTGCTGCTGGCGGGCCACCAGATGCAGCAGGAACATGGGCTTCATCAATCAGGGAGAGGAAGTCCTCCCCTGGCCCTGTGTGCATGGGGCTCCACCGGGCTGCTCCAAATAGAGGCAAAGAGCATTTGCTTCACAGAAACGGCGTGTCCATGGGACAGCCCACCCACAGTCCAGTAGAGACCCCAGGTTTGACTTCAGCTCAAGCATTCTACTGGATGATGCACTCAGAGTTATGGAACAAAGGTTTTCTAAATCACGCTGACATGGGACCTCTTCCTAAGAAGACAGCTGCAAGAGAAGCTGTGAGTAGATGCAAGTGGGAAGCAGGGCTGAGGATAACAACCAGCAGCTGCACTCCAGAGGCAGCACAGGGACATCATGCAGAGCTTGAGGAGGGCGAGCACAGGCATGAGACGGCACTCTGGGAGCAGCAAAGGCTCCCCATGGAGAAGCCAGGATTGGGACCTGCAGAAGCCATGCTCGGGCTGGCTCTGAGTGCAGTGGGCAGAGTGAAGCATTGGCCACAGCTCCAGCCCAGTCAAGCCATCAGCTGGGTCCAAGATACTGGACAGAAGGGCACAGTGCAAATGGCAGAGCTGGAAATGAGCAGATCTCACATGGACCAGAGTGGTCCCTCCAGGAAACAACCTATCTACAATGTGGGTCTAGGGTCCACCCAGAAAACGAGGCCAGAGAGGGGACTGGCAGCCAGTGCTCACAGCATGTGGCTCAGGTTTGGGCTGAGGGCCCAGGGCTGAGCTGAGACAGGCCTTGGGCCCATGCGAGGGCTCAGGCAGGACCGGGCACCAGCCATGAAGGCCAGCTGGTGCCCTCAGGGCCATAACAGCAGCAGTTAATCCTAAAACAGCAAGTCAGAGAGGCACAGCTGTCTGTGCAGGTCTCTCTGGCTACACAGGCCCTCAGGATTTTGTCAAGGCTCTTTAGGCTGACAAAGGGACTTCTCAAGGTGTGTTCTGCTGCAGGCAGCTCTGCATCTTGCACCATGACTGTGCTCCTGCAGAAACACATAGCACAAGGGCAGGGGAGGGAGCTCTTCAAAGAACCGGAGGAGCATGGGGTGACCTCCAAATGGCGCTGGGCTACTCCTGACGCCAAAGCAGGGACAACTCAGAATGAGTTTCTAAGAGTCATTTCTGGGTCAGCTGAGAATATGTCAAGGAATGGATGTGCCACAACTTCTCTATTTTCTTTTCAGTCTTTGAACACCCTCAGACTGAAATTGTTTTTGTCTAATTCTCATTTCCCTCCCTTCTCTTATGTCCATTGCCTCTCATCCTATCCCTGTGCACCTCCAAGGAGAATCATAGTATTGGGGTGATAGAACAATTTATGTTGGGAGGGACACCTGGAGGCCATCTAGTCCAATCCCTGCTCAAAGCAGAGCTGAAAAAACAGGTCCTTTTCCAGTCAAGTCTTGAACACCTCCAAGGGAAGAAATCCCACAGCCTTTCCCTCAGCACCTATTCCAGTATTTGACCAACCTCATGTTATAAGAAGTCTCTATTTCTAACTGGAATGTCCATGTCTGTATTTCTAACTGGAATGCCCATTGCTTCTCATCCCACCACCATGCAGCTCCTTGGACAGTCTGGCTCCATGTCCTCCATATCCTCCCATGGAGCAGCTGTAGGCAGCAATGACACACACACACCCACCCCATTGCCTGCTCTTTTCCAGGTGAAGCAAACCCCATTCTCTCATACTCTACTGACACATCCTGAGCTCCAGATCCTGGCCAGTCTGGTGGTCTCTGCAGAACTTACTCCAGTCTGTCAATACATTTCTTGTAATGGGAGGTCCAAAACGCAAAAAATGAGGAGTCTGACTCCATCTGCTCTCCACCCTCCCACCAGGTAGGTGGAGGCAGAAACCAGGTCCCAATCTCAGCCCTTCTTTCTGCAGGCTGAGCAGACCCATCTTCTCGTCCTGCCCACACAGGCCATGTGCTCCTGCACATGGCCACTAGACTCCTGGAGTTCCAGTCACCATTGTCATGGAGGAAGCCCCCAGAGGCCACAGCAGTCCAGTCACACATGGATGTGAATGATCCCTTCCCTCACCCTTCTGGTGTCATTTTTGCAGATGAAGACCAGGATGCAGCAATAAACAGATCTGTGCCATGACTGTGGCTCTTTCAATATCAAACATGTACTGGGCAGGTGCTGGGTTGGAGGACACACTGGGGTTTCAGACAAGTCCCCTCTATGGCCTCTCCTGCCTGCTTTTTGCATCTTGACCTAAACACTGGCCACAGCCCCCTGGAAAACCTGGCCAAGGACTGGAAGCTGTTGGCCAAACTCTGCTGTGGGTTGCTGCCTGCCACTGCCTGCATCTGCCACTGAGCAGAAGAGTCAGCACAGCAGGGCATGAACAGGAGCCCCAGGGCCAGGCAGCCACGCTGCCATCAAACAGCCCATAAGCAAAGCCCAGCCTGCTCCTCCAGGCCCAGGCTCTGGCCAGCATGAGGTGAATGCTGGGCTACTGGAGTCCTCATAACCAAGACTAGGGTGGGTATCAACCCCCAGGGAAAAGGCAGGTCTGTCATTTTCTGCAAGCAGTCCACATTGTAAGCACTCCTAGTAGCAGAGTGGAGCTTGAAGTGAGACCATTTGACGTCAGTGTCACGTCAGAACTCCCAAAACTCCCTCGTGATACCTGCAAAGGGCTGCAGTGCCAGGGGCGACCACAGCACACGTTGTGCAAGAGGCAGCGTGGTGGCAGCCCCTGGAGTGGCACTGGCAGCAGTTCAGGGCACAGTTCGCCAGGAACACTAGAGCAGCTCTTCCCTGAAGGGTCTGCTGGGGTCCCCGTGGCTGCTGGGCTTGGTGCCCACTCTGGAGAGCGATTGACAGCCGACGTTTGATCGCCATCCAAGAGGGGAATGTCAGTTGGGTGTTTACTTACACGTTTAAATGTGAAGAAGTGCCTAGAGGATGCTGTTCCCTGGGGAAACCCTGCCAGGGCAGGAGGGCAGGCACTGTAAATTGCAGTTGGTTTAAAGCATTCACTTATGGGCACCAAATTATTTGCTTTTCCTCTGAAGAGACTCTTCACCTTTGTGAGACACAGCCTTCATTGTCCAAGGGCATATCACTTCATGAGGAAGAGCAAATAAGCTGTAAACCACTGGTCCTGCTGCCAACCAGAGGACGAGTGCTGCAGTCAGGGTCTTATGCCCCCACCCCCCACCTGATGAGCCCTATAAGTTTCCAGCCAGATACCCCCCTGTCAGGCCACAGCCGCTCGGCTTCCCGCTGCGCAGGGTCCCCGCAGAGACAGCAATGGGTGAGTGGAGGTGTGGGGGAGGGACGGGACAGCAGCACTGCTGGTGACTGCAGGACATGGGGAATCATGGTGCTTTGTCTTGGGCAGGGCTCCCTTCTCCCCACACCCCAGTCCTCCCAGTGCCGAGCCCCTTCCCTCAGCTGGGCTCTGCCCTGGGCTGGCACCTGGGGCAGGAGGCTGCATGTTCTGTCATTTCCAGGCTGTGTCGGTGCAGCCCTGCAGTGCCAGACAGTCGGTTTTACAAACCTATTTACCAAACGTCCTTTGTGATTTTCAGTCCTACATGGAAAGCAGAGAATAGAACAGAGAGTAGAAGTCTAGAACAGAAAAAGTGGTTTTAAGATACTCTTGCCTAAGGAGCAATATTGAACAGGTATCAAAGTCTGGAAGTTAGATGCTTGAAAGCACACTCTGCCCCCCAAAGAACACCCGGGAGAGGCAGATCCTCTCCCTGCACCTCCTTCCCACCCAGACCTTCCCCGACCATCCACATGCACGGGGGAATGGGTCAGCAGTGGAGGGAGCACTGCTGCTCTGGTGACCTAAAGAGGAGACATCTTTAGACATCCCTCGAAACAGAAGCAAACTGAGGCCCTCAATGCTGTGTAGGAGCTGAGAAGCAAATCAGTTGGACTGAAGGGTTTAAAAGCCCTTTTGTAAAACTGTCGCTGACACAAGGGACTAGGACAGCTCTGAGCTCTCAGAACAGGGTGTTTGTCTCTGCAGTGGCCGCAGTCACACACAGCAGTGCTGGGCAGTATCCCTGATCATCTTCCTTCTCCATCATCCCAGGAAATGGGCCAAACCCAGGTGTCCTGGGGCAGGGCTGTAAGTTTGTCTCTGCCCTTTTTCAAACAGAGAAGGGATCACACCAGTCAATCTGCCAGGGTGAGCTGTGTTTGTCATCACATGAACAGATCTCCCCACGAGCAGGTGTCTCTGCAATGTCCTGCTCTCTAGGAATCATGACTTTTCTGTTATTTTATTTCGATTTCTTATTGTAAAAAAGTGTGCTGGTTTCCCTGGCTGCTCTGAGCAAGAACAAACTGGAGCAGCTGACTACATATGGCAATTCTGAAGTGGCCATATAACCATAAAATGGATATAATTTCCAGCAGCCAGGCAGTAATTCCAGGGAGTTCATGCTGTCCCTCCCAGTGATGCTGCCTTCAGGCCGAGCAGAGGAAAACACATAGACTTGCCCTGGGACTTGCTCCCCCCCAGACATCGGGGCTCTCAATGCCTACAAACCCCATCCTGGCACAGGGGAGTGATGGGAGCGGGGAGGGAGGGGGTTTTTCCTTCCAGGCCCACTCTGCTCATGTTGACCATCTCCATTCCCCAGAGCTGGGTTTTACAAGGATTCCTGGTTACAGTCACTCTGCATTTGGACAAGTTTTTGAACTTCTCCGGTATCAAAGACTAGGGGTGCCACCACTAATGACACCCACCAGTGAGTCTGAGACAGCTCGTCCAAATGCGTGTATTGGGCTTATAGCTCTGAGAGGGAGCCCTACACGTAAAGGGGTTTATTTCCCTATTTCACTCTGCAAGTGAAGGAGTCCAGTGGCATTTGTGGCTCTCTAATGGAAGAGTTATAATCTTTCTTCTTTATCCAATCTCTTCTCATTTCAGCTACCCAGTGCCTTGTCCTCCTGCTTTTCACCTGCCTACTGCCCCTGGCAGCATCTCTTCCTGCCTTGGACATAACAAACTTGCATCTCCTCAATGGCACGCTGGACGGAGTCATGAATGTTCCCCCCGAGTCCTCCCAGCTCGGTAAGTTCACCACTACAACAGGGAGAGGAAACAAGGTCAGGTTCAGTCAGGCCCTGCGCAGAGCCCCTCACCGTCCCAGCCACAGCCCACACAGACGGACTAAATGCTTCTCTGAGCAGGCAGTGTCGGTGCAGGGTCAGCTCTCTCACTGAATCACCTCAGAGTCCTCTGCTTGCTGCCTGTCTCTCTTCTCATCTGGCATTAATTCTTCTGTCCATAAGCAAGTCCCATAGTCCAAAGCCTAGTCCACAGGATCCCAGAAGGAGGGACAGGCTCAGTCTCACTGGAAGCAATGCCAAGCCAGGGATGCTGTGGGCCCCTGGGCTCCTCCTCAGAGAAGCGATGTTAAAGAGGTTAAGACAAAAGATCACGGTGTGTTTTGAGGAGACAGGGAACAGTAGACACCTCTGGAAATCACCAGGTCAGTGGGGAACTGAACTCAAGAGAGAAATGAGTACAGAGGAAGTACATGAAGTCAATACAAAGAGTCTATGCAGTAGCACTGGCACAGAGCAGTCAGTCAGATGCTGGCATGGAGTAACTTACAAATGCCAGGGTGTATTGGAGCACTGAGGAACCCTCCAGGAAACACTCCTGGAACAAAACTGGGGGCTGCAGGTGGGACATGGTGTGACAGAAAGGGCTGCTTCACCTCTAAGGGAGGAGGAGGAGCTCTTGGCAGAAGAGCTCAAGGTCCAAGTGTTTAGTGCTGGTTTTACATCAGCCTTCACCACACAGGTCTGTGGAAACTGTCGACACAGGAGCACCCACAATTGGGACAAGAGCTTCGGCTCACCAAGAACCACAGCTCCGAGTAGAGAGAGAGGGGCTGTGCTCTGGGCTTCATGCTCATCCCACCCAAACCACTCGTTTGGGTGCTCTGAAAACAAGAGCAGCATGGATGCAGGGTGGGGAAGTGGGGAGGCATGCCAGGGAGGACAGGCTCCAAAGTCTTTGGAAGTCTTGACTTTGCAGAGGAGTCCTTCCAAAGGGGTGGAAAGTGAAGGCAAAAGGAGCAGGGGCAGACCACAGCTTACAGAATTAACATGAGTGAACACCTTCATATGGCTGTAGTAAAAGTAAATACCATGGTAGGAAAATCCTCCAGATCATGTTATGTGAGTGCCCCACACAGGCTCAGGCCAACCGCCATGTTCAGTGCTAGGATTTAAGACACATTTGAGGAGAGTCAGAAGGAAAGGGGTTAAGAACCTGGGAGGCAGACTGTGTCAGGGAAGGCTGAAAAACCAAATGGTTTAGCCCCAAAATCAGAAGACCACAGAGGAGGAAGGGATGGCAATATTACAGTCTGTCTGCAGGAAGGAGTGTACTCTGGGTGTAGTAGGGGAAGGCGTAGGCTTCTGCACAGTGCAAGAGGCTTAAGGAAAACACCTCACAAGGGAGGGGACAGGAAAGCACCAGCTGAGAGTGAAAGTGGGAAGCAGATATTATGGAGTGTTGGAGAGCAGCAGCAGCTTCTGTTTCAGAGGAGTGACAGGAATAGCTTTTGTGATTCCACAAGCCTGAGACTCATTCTCTGTTTTACAGCCACCAGTGGATATGCAGGAGATGGCCTTGCAAAAGAATTGCATTAACTCACTCTAAGCCAACCTCTCTTCCAGTAACATCCCCCAAATTCCCTCCTGACCCAGATGGGCAGAGCCCCTCTCCCAACTCCTGATGCCTACACCAGCCTTCCTGTGTCTGCTCCTGTTTTTTCCCCTCTCTAACGCCTCTTCTTCCTGAGTCCCTTCCTCACTGCTTTTCCTGCCCTTTAACAATCATCGTTCTGGGGTTGCCACCGCCATTCAGAGTCTTTCCCACACACACTCTGCCAAAATCACCCTCACCAGGGAAGAATCCGCCCCATCTTAACACTGTCTAGATTCCCCCAAACACCAACTGGCTGACACCTGCAATGGAAAAGTCCCTCTGAAATTAGAAGCAACACACAAAACCCAGGAATCTGGAGAAGATTATGATCTCCCAGAGGGCATTTACTGTGTCTACCCTCAACACTCACTCCCATCTCCTTTTTTCTTGTTAATGCAGGTAACGGCAGCACACATGTTCGACAGGTCAGAGACGTTGCCCCCCACCCACTGGTGGGCCACGGTAAGTCCATTCTTGAGGAACACCTCTGCTCACAGGGTCTCACCCTTGCTGGGCTTGTGAAGAGCTCCCAGCCACCTTAACCCATGTCCTGCACATGGTCTGCCTCCTCCTGGGAAAAACATCACCAGGCTGTGGAGGAGCCACAGCCCGTAACCTTGGGGGAATCCTGTTACCAGCCATGTCCTGGGCCTGGCAGCTGAGGAGGATCTTTATGAGGATCTCTAGCATGGGGCAATTCCACCCAAAGATCCAAACTAGAAAGGGATGATTCATTCTTGGCCCGGTAAGTGGCAACTGGTTATCTTCCTGCTGTCACAGCACAGTTGACAAGAAGACTGGGTAAGAGAGGGACTGACTGTGTTACCATGCTGACAGAGTCAGCATCAGCCCAAAAGACAGATCCCATCACAGTGGGAATAAACAGTAACAGAGGTACTAGGAAAGGAGCAAGTCCCTTCCCAGGACCATGTAGCTCCAGCTGTTTGTTGTGTAAGGTGCTGACACTCTGCAGCATGGAAGGGCCACAATCAAATCAAACAAGTCAGGAAGTCTCTAAAGCACTACACGGATAAACCCAGAGGAAGCCAATGGATTTGTCCTATTGCGATCATGAGGGCTGATGTAACTATTAGAAATATGGATGACTTGATCACTGTCTCTCCAGGGCTTCTGGGACTACTCTATAAAGTTCTAAAGCCCACATGCTGTGACAGCAAAGGGCTTTGTAACCCAGATTTGCATTGGTCTGTGTGGTGGTACATGACTTGCATACTACAGGCAAACCACAACAGCACAGCAAGACCAAATCCAGCCTGGGCTGGGGTGTGTCATGCGCTGGCTGAAGACAATGTCAGGCTCAGTCTCACCAGGCCAAGACACTTTGACGGAGTGTCCTGATCAGTTTGAATTCTGTCTTGGAAAGATATGAGGCCCTACTCTCATGCTGCATTTCCAGATATTAATTTCTTCCTGTGAGCACATGACAGGAATACAGCTTAAGAATGTGTGTGCCAAAGGATAAAGGCTCAAAAGAATTATAAGGTACTTTCAGCATCTCCTTGCCTGGGATTTAATAACCATCTCTGTCTCCTGCCCCAGGCTGGCCCAAGGACTGCAGCGAGATCCCTGCCAGTAGCCGCAGTGGCGTCTACATCATCCAGCCCAAAGGACTCCACCCCATCGTGGTGTCCTGCGAAATGAACGTGACCAACGGGGGCTGGACGGTCATCCAGAGGAACCAGAGAGACACAGCAGTCACCTGGGCCGAGTCCTGGAGCACCTACAAGTATGGCTTTGGGAGTGTGCACAGCGAGTACTGGCTGGGCACTGAGTACATCCACCAGATCTCCCAGCAGAAGGTCTATCAGGTCAGGTTTGTCATCCAGGACTCCACAGGCAACATCAATTTCTCAGACTACAACCTCTTCAATGTGGAAGATGAGTCCCACGGCTACCGGCTGAGGCTGGGCGCATACTCAGGGACAGCGGGGGATGCCATGACCTCAGACAACCCCACCACCATGCACGACAACATGAAGTTCTCCACAAAGGATCGGGATCAGGACACTTACAGTAAGAACTGTGCCTACAGCTATGAGGGCGGGTGGTGGTACTCGGCGTGTTATTCTGTACGGCTGAATTTCAAGGGTGGCATGACCTGGGGCAGCCTCTGCAAAGGGAACTGCAAATCCTCCCTTATCCTCATCAAACCAGCCCCGTACTGTTAGTGCCCCTTCACCCTCCTGTCCACACCAGATGCTCTGTGAAGGCTCTGCATGACCAAAGAACCCGAGCCTTTCTGGAGCAGAAAGAGGAGCCCAGTGGTTTCAGTAAAATGCCACTTTCCAATTCCACTCTCTGAGTGCAGGCTCCCCGCGGCTCAGCTCTTTTCCCTTGTGCTTGCCAGTGATTCCTTGTTATCATGTTCATAATCAAGAATTTTAAAATTGCTTGTGAAATTTGTGGGTTACACATGTACCTTCCCTGCGGGAGGAAGACACTCAGCCCTGAGGGGAGTTTTCATCGGTTTCTCAGGTGCCTCCAGAGCTCACTTGCAGAAAGCAGAAAAGCCACAAATTTCCATATTCTCTGTGCCTCTCTGCAGTGCCTGGTAAAGCATCCCAATAAATTTGCTTCCCTGAGCTCATTTTCCATAAATGACCATCTATTTTGTATCTCTGATGTGCTCCCACAGAGACCTAGGAAATCCCATGTCGGGTGGTGGGACTGGACTCCTGGGGCTTATGGGGGGAAAAGCCTTGAGCGGTTCTGGCAAGAATGGATGCACGAAAATCCAGTCTAGTTACACTGAGAGAAAGGGCCTGTGACCTGCACGAGGAGGGTTCAGAAGGGGCCCATCACATGGGAGAACTCTTCCCACATCCTCACTCCATTCACGGTCCAGGCTGGCAGCATCCTGGCATCACGGTCCTGCTGGCACTGCACTTTGTGCCCTGCCTGTCTGCGAAGTCATGCTTTGATCCCACAGAAACCTGATTTCAAGGTCATTGGCAGCTCTGTCTGCTATAAGTGAGAGGCACTGAGCTTACATGGAAGCAGAAGAGAAATAGGTCAGGTCTTAGGAAGCTCCTGAGTTAGGAAACACTGATGGGGAAGAGCTCGTTACAGGCATGGGCTCACCGTGCCCATTTCTGAGCCCAGCTGAGATGGGCCTTTGCCAGGGAAAGAGCAGGCAGGACCAACACTCTGTGGCTGTAGGACGAGGCCCTGCAGCTCCTCCACCCCACGGCACCCGGGCACTGCCAGGACAGGCTGTGTGAGAGCGCTCCCACTGCCACAGCCCGTGCCTGCCCTTCTCCGGGGCAGCACAGCTCCAGCAGAAAGTTCCAGGTCCAGGACTGATGGCTGAGGGACAGCCCAGTCCACAACTCCACTGCAGAGCCCAGTACAGAGTCCAGTGCCCATCGGCAGCCACCCAGAAAGGTTCAAGAAATTACAAAACATGGAAAGAAATGAGCAGCGGAGGATCCCCGAGCTAGAAAGTGCCTCGCACCACTCCAGAAACCTGCCCTCAGCACTGCGGATCATGGGGGTCAGGGGGCTCAGGGCTGTTACTCCCGGAGGCAGCTCTCAGCTGCAGCATCCTGGGAGCCTCCAGCATCAGGCATGAGTCCCCCCAAAGCAGAGCACTGAGCACGGGGGGACCCGAGTGCAGCCCATCCCTGCCCTGCAGCATGGGGAGGGGACACTGGGCAGCGCCACGGTGGGCATGGCGTGGGCTGGCAGAGGCTCTCCCAGCCCAGGGGCAGGGGACGGTACCAGCGGATGAGGGTTGCTGTCAGGAAGGTGCCTCCCCCCGCCCTGGTGCCCCCAGGGTGGGTTTGGCTTCACAAATCCGCAGGTCAGTGACATCAGGCGACACTGGGCAGGCTGTGAGGTGGCATCATTGCTGCCCTGAGGCCTGTGGGATCCCCAAGCAACTTGCAGAACTCAGAAGTAGGGGCAGCCAGAGAGCACCTCAAAATATCCTCAGGGCACACCAGGGCCAGCCCAGCGCGGGGGGTCACTGTGCTGCTGTCTGGTCTCTCCACCATGGGACGTCCCAGTGTTCGGAGGTGTCCTCACCTCCCCCACCACAGCACCAGCCCACTGCAGCCCCATGCTCCCAGTGACCCATCCAAACACTTCCAAGCCCTGCTGAGCTCTTGGCCACTCAACAGTGGTGACCACCAGCCCCCGGCAGCTCGAGCAGGTTCCCTGCACCCAGCTCTGGCAGCCCACGCTGAGCTGGGGTCATGCAATGGATGTTAAACATCATCTCACATCATGAAAATGTCCTGGCCAGGACACGGCCATCCCCACTCTGGCAGCAGTGCGTGGCTCACCCTCCAGCTGCAGTTTTCCATGAAGGTTTTCCACTAATGCTCCCCAGGAGTGACCCCCACCTCCCATGGGGCCCTGGCTGGTGGCTTTTCCTTAGTCATCCAGCACATATTTCACTGGTAGACCCAGAGGTAGCAGGGCGGGGGTATCCCTGCTCCTGCTAGAGCACCCCAGCCAGGGAGCGGGGGGGCGTGGTGCATGGTCACAGCCCCGTGGGGCTGCGGTGTCTGGCGAGTGTGTGCAGGGGCTGGGAGTGCTGGCTGGGGGTGGGGTGGGCAGGTACTGTGCCCAGGCAGTGGGTCCTGCACTTGGAGAGCTGCCGGGGTGGTCTTTGTACCCACAGCAAGAGGAACATAGCAGGGGGGCAGGGGCAGGTGGTTTGGAGTGATGTGGGGGCTCAGCGGGTGGGCGTTGGCGGGGGGAGGGCCCAACAGTACTAGGTGCCACGGGCTTCATAAATAAAGGCTTTTGTGTGGCTCCTTGGCTCTGGCCATTAACAGAGGGGTGGGGCAGGCAGGGTGGTTGTGGGGCAGCACTGGCCAGGCTTGGGGGTCACTGGCAGTCAAGGGGAGTCCTCCAGCTTGGGGAGCACCTGGGCACCACACTGGCACGTGGACGAGCCCATCAGCACACCAGGGAAGGCAAGAGCCCCCACCAGAGCCTGGTGAGGCTGCGCTTCCCCCAAGGCGGGCCTGGGATCAGCTCAGCAGCTGGGCCCTGCTGAGACACCTCACATGGCAGGCAGCCCCTCACGGAGGGGTGAACCCCACAGCTGACTGGGCTTGAGCTGTTCCCAGAGCCTGGGTGCAGCACTGCTGCATTCTTTGCACCCATTCCCCCCCAACCTGCTCGTGCCAGCCACCACTGGAGAGGCAGCAGGAGGCCTGAGCTCACCCTGGTTCATCCCAGGCCCCCGGTGCTTTCCTTGGTTTCATGCAATGGAGGGTGGGACAGGGCTGAGGTGGAGGGAGCCCCGACACCCCCAGCTGCAGCCTCTGGGGCTGCCACCACCTCACTTCCACCAAGAGCCTTCGGTCACTGGGGAGCTGCTGGGGAGCTGGTGGCTCTTCCCATCCAGAGCTGGTGGTACTTAAATTTTATGTGCTTGCATCCATAGGAAAGAATGGATTGCTTACCCACAGCCGCTTCTCATTGCACCCATGGGCACACAGCACCTATCACCATCCATACAAGCGTTTCTCAGCAAACACAAGGACAGATTGGACACACAGCTAGGTCTGTTCTGCACACCCTGAGCAATAATTAGTAAGGAACTCTAATCAGGAGCTACCATCCTTGAGGAAGAGAAACATCCTGGAACATGGAAGCTCGTTAAAAATGTTTAACATGGAAGCTCGTTAAAAATGTTTTTTGATAAACAAATCAGTTTAATTAGAGTGTCCTTTGAAAGAACTATCCTCATTATAATACTAAAAATCATGCCCACTGCTTTGAAGACCCCTGTCTGAATAAAGACCCTTGGAGTGTGCGCAGAAAATTAAAACCCCACTGGGACTGTAAATAGAAGCGAGTGTATTACTAACCAGTGTGGGATAGGGGTGATAAGTAACTAACCAAGGGTCATTGTAGGAATTACTTAATCAGGTAGTTTGGAGGGTATCGATACTTTGGAAGCTTTCCACCAGCACCCTGTGCAGCACAAAGCACCATCTCCTCTCTAAACTGATCCTGGTTTCAAGAGCCTTTACTTCAGGTAACACCCCAGCCCAGGCAGCACCCCAAAGCCCTGCCAGGAGGCAGGTTCATTGCCAGAGAGCAGCCTGGCTCCGCCGGGTGGAGGGGGGAACACGGAGCCCCTGCACCTGCCCCGCCAGCAGCCAAGGGGAGCAGCGCAGCACAGCCAGCTGTGAGGAACTGAAGGGGTTAATGCCTCAAACAGTCATGACAAGTAAAGCCTCAAGGACAAATTGTGGCCTTTGTGGTTGGTCTAAGGAATGAATTATCTGCCAGGGAAGCACAGGGTGTACAGAAGGGTGCAAGGCTCTGCTCCCTCACAGCTGTATAGCTCCATTCCCCAGATAAGCATCGAAGGGGGGAGACATAGACTGAGTAAAACCATATGTTCAGGTGAAGGACTACACCTTATTTTATGGCTCTAGTCTTGAAGAGACCTAAAAGATTGATAAGAGATAAACAACCGACACCAGATGGAGCTATAATTGCCAAAGGAACAAAAACTAAGGGAAAGGTAAAGGACTGGGAGGGGGGAGATGGTAACCACCAACTCAACTGTACAAAAGGGTTAATGCACCCCATCCCCCCCAACTCGCACAGAACCCCGGCTCCACCTTTTCCACACCTCTCATGGAAATGAGTTTGTGGAATACCTGCCTCTGTCTAATATGCAAATCAGCTGATAAGATGAACTTAAAAGGCAACAGAAAACATTGCTGTGTGTGCACCCACCACCCAAGATGACTGGACCTGAGACAATGCTGGATCCAGGGGTGATAACCAGAATTTTTGACTCCTTTCCTTTTTCCTTTCCTTTTTCCTTTCCTTTTTCCTTTCCCCTTTCCTTTCCTTTCCTTTCCTTTCCTTTCCTTTCCTTTCCTTTCCTTTCCTTTCCTTTCCTTTCCTTTCCTCTCCTCTCCTCTCCTCTCCTCTCCTCTCCTCTCCTCCTTTTCCTTTCTTATAGAGACATTGCTTATTATTCTTTTCCAAATTTAAGTTGTTTTCTACCCCAAGTAAAACATTTTAACAGGTCATTTGGTGTCATTTCACTTTAATTTAACCCAAGGGGATCACAAAACCATTTGACTCCCCAGACTAGTCCAGGTCATGACACCAGCCTGTGCCTACAGCGACACTGGTCCCCTGGCTGGGGTGTGGCAGGGGAATGGGGTCTCCACTGAGCCTGCCGGCCTCGGGACTGGGGCTGTTGGCTTCACCCAGGCTTGTCTCAGCTGCCAAGCAGCCATCAGCGTGTTGCTGTAGTTTCGCTGCCCTTTCACAGTGGCACAGGGGAAGTGATATCTGTTGTTGATAATCCAAGAGTGGGACATAACAGGGAGTTTCAGAGGGTGAACCTGGGGTGAAGGTGCAGGGTGGAGCAGCACCAGCCTGGAGGGGTGGCCAATAGCTGGGCCCCCACCAGCAGCACAACCCTGGGCAGCTGCTTTTGGTGATACAAGTTACCAAAGAGGTGCCCAGAAGTGGTGTCTGGGGCTGGAGAGCCGCAGCAGCCAGCACGCAGGTGGCACGTCCCTCACAGTGAGGGCCACCACAGCATAGAGCCATGAAACGGGGCTGAGTCCCACTGGTCCCAGCACACTTGACAGTGAGAGGATGAAATCCCCAGCATGAACACCACATGGCAAAGCCTCAGGATGCGGACAGCTCCCAGTGCCCCCTCCCCAGCTGGAACTGCCTCCCCACCATGCTGTGCGCTCAGCCAGGGCAGCCACATCCCAGCTCTGACTGCGCATCCAGCTGAAATCTGCTCTGCAGGAACCGCACACACCTGTGGAAGGAGGTGACGCCTCAGCAGACCCCTGCTGCAGCCCCCACCCCACAGAAACCACCCCCTGTGGCTCAGTGCCCCCAGGAACCCCTCCCTCAGGTCCCCATGGGTGAAGGCAGCCAAGGCCCCGGCCGTTGCGGCACCTCACCCCTGGCGCAGGGCTTGGGGCTAGCTGCTGGGGAAGGGGCTGGAGCCGCACACAATCCTGGGCTCCCCCTCAGCAAGTGAGGGGACAGCGAACCCCCCACAGCTCTCACAGCTCTGTCCAGCTCTCCCCCCCCACTAGGACAGCTCCAGAGCACTGGATGTCTCCCCCCCCAACAGGGGTGTGGCAGAGGCGGAACACAGGGTTCACACCCAGAGCAGGCCCTGTGCAGCAAGCCTTGCGCACCCATCGGCCCCACTTGTGCCCTCTTTCCTCTCCTTTTCCGCTTGACCTCACAATCCTGGCAAGCTCACACCACTCAGCTGAGCCCTGCCCTCACACCTCCACTGCCACAACCAGGCCCTGTGGGGCTCCTCCAAGCAGTCGGTACCACAAGCACCCCATGACTGCGCACACCCACTGAAGGGAAACCGTAGGAAATTCCAGCGCTCCTGGCACCTTTCCTTAGGGGAAACAGAGAGGGCAAGACAAGAATGTAATAGCAGTATTGCTGCAGGAAGACGAGGGGTGAAGCCTGGTGCACGGGGAGCTGGCGGGCACGTCTGTGTATCCGTAGGAGCTCTGGCCACCCACACCCCGTCTCCTGAGACCCCCCCCTGGAGCAGAGGAGCTTTCAGGCCCGACCAGGGCAAAGGGGACACTGAGGAGAAGCACACACCATATCACCCCAAAAGGGACAGCCCAAATGCCCCAAAGCACCCCCCCACACCCTGCGTGCCACACCTCCCCTCCTTTGACCAAACCCAGCAGCTCAGCTGAGAGCAGAGAGCTCGTCAGAAACGCGCTGCAATCCCCACGTGCCAGCAGGTCCCCAGCAGGCAGGAGGGAGGCCCAGGGAGCTCGCCCTGCCCACTCCTCACCAACAGCAGGCAGCACCCTCACCCTTCCCAGCACGGCCTCAGGGAACAGCACCCCCCTCCCCGTCCCTTTCTCAGACTGATGCAGTCACCAGGCAAAACTCTGTCCCCTGCCCCCCACTTTTCAGCCAAGACCAGGAATATTTACCACCCAAGCCCCCAGAAGAATGCCTTTCTTTCACCCATTTGTGGCTGAGTATCTTTAATGGTTGAGATCCACTGTGGAGATCTGAGGAGGAACCAGTAACATGAACCATTCGAACCACCCATACAAAGGCACATGGATTAGTGGGGTTTTGGCGCCCGGGTCCTGCACCCCCCGGCTTCAGAGAGAAGCAAGCAGGAGGCAGCGCTGCAGCCTGCTGGGGCAGCTCCCCCATTCCAGCATGGGGGCAGAGTGATCTGTTCCTCCTGCTCCGCTGCACCAGAGCCCCTCTGCCAGTAAGCAGGCCCAAGGCTGGGTTCAGCCTGCCTGCAGGGACAGCCCAAAGCCCCAGGCCCTGGCACCACACAGATTTAAGATCAAACCTGGTGTTTGGCAGCACTGACTTAAAACACTGAGAGGTGCCACATCAAGGACTCAAGGGGTGCCCCCCAGTACCCCCCACTCCCCATGGACAGCCCCAGCTCTCCCAGACTGCAGATGTTTCCTGCCAGGCGCTGTCACTGAACCTGCCTCTGGCCTTCAAGTGTGTTGGTTTGTAGCATGAAAATGCACCAGGATGTGACACAGAGACACAGCTCCAGAGATTTGCACTTGGTAACCAGTGACCTGGGACACCAGGCTCCAGCTCAGTATAAATCGACACTTCAGCACAATAATCCTGCTCGGAGGGGCAGACAGACTGACAACCAGTGGGGTCCCAGAAAGATCTGCAGGCTGAATTTTCTCCAGTGTGATGCTTTCCAGAGAAGGCAGGCAGCCCTCCCATAGAGCAGACGTCCCGTGCCAGTGGGCGTTAACACCCCTGCCAGGCTGCTACCTCAGGCTCAGGTCAGGATCACAGAACCCCACAGTGGGAAAGCTCCAGGTATTGGCTTCTAACATTTTTGTGGTGAGAGGCAACAGAACACGGGGTCACTGCAGCAAGAGGTGAAGGCTCAGTTCCTGCACAGACCCCTGCATCAGGCCCCACTGACGCAGTGCAGTGACACAGGCGAGGTCCCTGGCACAGCCCGAGCTCACAAAACTTTGCTCACCCCTCATGGTACCAGTGAATCCTTCACCTAGGGCAAGAGAGGAGCTCCAAGGGACACAATCTTTGGCTCTTAGAACACTTCAGTACTTCAGTGGATAAATGATGCACAAATGATGCTCAGATGATCAAATGATCAATTTGATCATCCAATAATGCTGCTGTAAAACACCAGGGATGCCCCTGAGCAGCCAGCAGCATGTTGCTGCTGACCCACACAGGCTGTGCGGAAGGGGCTGTGCGATGCTCCAGGCAGCCCCAGGCTGGACAGGCTGTTCCCAACACAGACACGTCTCCAGCAGCACCTCCCAGAGATGTACATGCTGACCAGGATGTGGGCTGCCATAGGCTCAGGCTTCATCCTTCCAGGCTGCTGAAGCCAAGCCTTCCACACCCAGCACACAGCGAGCTGAGCCTGGAACCAGGGCAGACCAGGGCAGTGACACAGCTTGGGGACCAACACTCCTAAAACTCCCCAAAGCTGCAATGACAATGGGTGTGACAACACAGGGGTGGGCAGAGCTTGGATGAACAGAAACTCGGCCCTGACGAGAGCAGCCCCGTGCACAACAGACACCACTGGCAGCTGTTTAACCCGTGCTACGGCTCAGAGCGGGCATGTGGCTCCACCGAGGTCACACAGTAGTGCCAGCATACAGCCTGCACAGCCTGTGAACCCCGTCCGGCTGTCTGGCACCAGGTCCACAGGTCACATCACCGAGGGGACACCGCGGCCAGGGGGACCCCCACACCCCATCTGCAAGGGTCCCGTGGACAGCAGGGGCACGTTGCTGCCTGCAGAGCTGAGCGCAGCGTGGCATCCAGCAGTCACACACTGTCTGTCTGCTGGTCATATGCTGTCTGTCTGTCGGCTGGTCACACGCTGTCTGTCTGCTGGCTTGTCACACGCTGGCTGTCTGCTGGTCACATCGCAGCCGTGTGCTGTGCCCGACAGCTGTACTCCAGGGCTGAAGGTCACAGCTGTGGAGGGCCCAGGCCTCAGCCCAAGGCACAGGCCCCACGCACAGTGCCTGCAGGCCATGTGCCATGTCTGAAGGTCACACATCGTGTCTGAGGGTCACACACCATGACTGAGGATCACAGTCACAGAGGGCCCAGGTCTCAGTCCTAGGAGCCGGCCCCACACGCTGTGTCTGAAGGTCACACACCGTGTCTGAGGGGTCACACACTGTGCTGGGCCCTCTGAAGGGATGCCC